CTGCTTTCAATTTCAAAAATATTTGCAGGCACAGCCTACTTCTAAAAATTATCGAGATACTGACTTTTTAACGTTATTTTATCATAAATAATTAAAAATGCATCGAACCTTAAAAATCGAAATATCTCAAAAACGGCTAACTATAACGAAAATCCACAAGAAAGCTTTTTTATGTTGAAAAGTGCGAAGAATCAGTTTTTTGTTCAAAAAGCAAAAAATTGCACTAAGAAACAATTTTCGGTCATTTTAATACACTACAGGTACAGTAGAGAGCGCCCTCTAGCAGCTACAGTAAAGCTATGCCCATGATTCGTTTTGTCATACCATAAAACCCTTGTACACCAATTTTCACTATTATGCATCAAAAATTGTTCGAAATATTTAAAAAAAACTATTTTAAAAAGTAAATTTAAACACCCTGTATTTCGGAAGCCACGCATTTTTCGACCCATGTTTATATAGACTTTATGCATTAATTTTAAAAATTCTATCGAATCTTAAAGTTATGCAACAATAAACTGAAACACCCTGTATACGAGCAGTAGTCATTGCCATCGGTCAGTTGGGAAAAAAGACAATTAAAGTGTTGTTGTTGTTGGGAATTGGCAAAACTTAAAGCTTAATGAACTCTTTTGACGGTAATCTCGAGCTTTCGACAAACTATGTTGTTATCTTCAGCAGCTAATATATATATATATACGATGGCGTATTCTAGGCATAACTTGAGATTTCATACGACATTCTAAATCGGCACGTCCCTGTCGATTCGTATTCAACCATCTACCTAATCTAAAATGCATCTGAGAAGTGCACACGGTTACGTGCTTCTTGCTCGGTACAAGTTCGAACAAAGAAGTGGAGCAGTGCCTACGGCATCTATTCGGTACCAATTTATTTAACGAACCATATAGCGCATTCGTCACGCGGCGAATGTTTATCAAATTAATCATCAAGCAAGCCCTGTCTGTCGACGGAACGTATTTACGTACACGTTCCTGTGCTTGGATCGACATGAGACGAAATGGAACTGTTGAAGCTAATTTTGGGGTTGCGTTTGGGTTATGTATGAATTTGTCACGGTTTTTGGTGGTCCTTTAAAATATCAATTTACCTGTTCCGGTCAAAGTTCTTTCAGGTTTTTTTTGGGCAATGGGAACAAAAAATGTAGTATAGAGCTTTTCTCTAAAGTTGATAGTTTTCAGGATATAAGCGATAATATTTGAAAAACTGCGAAATATGTCATTTTCGACCTCTTAAGAACAATACTTTTCCATTTTGCCACAAAAAACCTAGCAGATAGGCAAACTTTCGCAGGACTCGCACACGTTACTCAATGCTTCACGTATTGTCTTTGAGAAAATAAGATAGGTGTGACAGCCCCTTACATAACATCTAGAGAACTTTTCGTATTGATGACATAACATAAGGCATCTACAGTATATTCAGATAAGAGATAGACCGGATGTAAACAAAAGGTTCGGGTGATTTTCACGCTAACGCCGCCGTCTCGACGTAAAACAGGAGCCCTCATTGGTCAATTCGCAATTAAATGCCTATGCCGATCGGCAGAGCAGTCGTATCAAGGCAGAGTCACATTCAGGTTCAGACGTGTTACGTATGTCGTGTGCATCATTGCAATTTGATATTTCTTTGGACGTTTTCGTTTGTTATATTATTAAGTTGTTGAGTTTGTCGTTGTTATTGTTATACCTTGTTATTGATTGTTATTGTTATCAACTGCTTGCGCAAAATGCCCAGTAGTACAGATACTGCCGATGAAGTTGTAAACTCCTGTAGTCCACCTAGGAAACGCTCTAAAAAAAGACACCTGAGTGCAGAAATGAAAGAGGTCATTTTGAATATATATAAGATCGAGCGCGAGGAGAACGAGGCATCAACCATCAAAGAAATTGTTGTGAAGGTTTCTCACAAAGTTGGAGTGTGTCGCGCATCAGTGTTTAATGTGTTAAGACAATACAAAAAAATCACACATTTTCTGAGCCAATGACCAGTAAACATCGCAAAAGTATTGTTAAATCATTGGATGAAGCTGATAAGCATGCGATTAGGAGGAAAGTGCATGAATTCTTCTTTAGGAATGAAATACCTACTATAGATAAAGTACTGCAGGAGGTAAATGGAGATACAACGATGCCAAATTTCAAACGATCAACTTTCCATGCGTTACTGAAGCATTTAAATTTCAAATGGAAAAAACGGGGTCGTAATAGCTTACTACTGGATAGAGAAGAAATTGTGCTATGGAGGAGGGATTATTTAACAAAAATTGGGAAATATAGAAATCAAAACAGGAAGATTTATTACCTTGATGAAACGTGGGTAAACGCAGGACACACTACAAGTAAAGTATGGGTTGATGATTCTGTAACTTCATCCAGGAGGGCCTTTCTAGATGGACTGTCCACCGGATTAAAAAATCCAGCAGGTAAATACGAGTAATAGACAACAATCGGATGTTTTTCAAACCTTGGGAACAAGGTTCTAAACATTAATTCCAGGGGGCAGATAAAACATAATACAAGTAACAAAACTTTTATAACTTTCGATGAAATGCGTGGATGTTTTATTGTCATTTTCATTTGTTAGAACTTTTTTAAGCCATGTTTTTATGTGTCTTCGATATTTCAATAATTTTTTAATATAATCCTAAAATATGTCGAATATTATAAACTTAAAAAAAGTTACTAAGTTTTATATTGTGTACCGTTCCTAATATTTCTAATCATTTTAATTCATACTTTAAGCTTTATAAAGTTATAATTTGTTAATATTAATATTTGCGCGTATTTCAGGTTCCTGATCATTCATTTTTTAAAGGTTTATTACTTTAAATTAAATTGTGAAGCGCTGAGTAATCATACGACGTTCTTTCAATATGACTAAATAATCCCAATTATAGCAATCTGATACTCATGTCTCAATGTTTTTTCGCTGAATGTGATGAAAACATTTGAAAAAGGTTCGCTTATTGAAATAAATCTACACCAGTTAGTACTTCGATTTCCAAGTAAAGGGAAAAGGCTCATTATCTGCCATATTGGCAGTGAGGATGGATTTGTTGTTGACGGTCTGTGGTGCTTTGAGTCTAAGAAAACTGGAGATTACCACGAGGAAATGACTGGCGAATCGTTTGAACAGTGGTTTTCAAAAATTTTACCGAACTTAGAGGAAAACGCAGTAATTGTGTTGGATAATGCGCCTTATCATTCTCGAAGAATGGAGAAGGTCCTAACAACGGCTTCAAGGAAAGTTGATGTTCAAAATTGGCTCCGCTCGAAAAATATCAACTTTGAAGAAGCAATGCTGAAAGTACAATTATTAAGAATTGTCAAGGATCACAAGGCGGAATATCAAAAATACGCCATTGACGAAATGGCAGCAAGTCAAAATAAAACTGTGCTCCATTTACCTCCATACCATTGCGAGCTCAATCCCATTGAGCTCATATGGGCAGAGGTTAAAAATTATTTAGCTAAGCACAATACAACTTTTAAATTTTGTGATCTCAAAGGACTTTTCAAAGAAGCACTAGAATTAATAACAGCGCGAAAATGGGAAAACTGTATTAAGCACGTGAAAGACAAAGTTGAAAAGAGAATGTGGGAACTGGACAATATTTTAGAGGAACAAGTCGAGCCATTCATTATTGACGTTGGTGCTTCAGGCAGTAGCGATGATGAAAGCTCATCAAGCTCATCTTTCCAATAAAAGATGTCGTTCATCAAATTCGATAAGTTATAAGTAATTATAAAGCTACTGTATTTTTTAATTAATTATTGACATTTTGAACCCATTTTGGCAAAACCTATTCAAGAATCTACTTTCTGACAATGTTCAACCATGCACATTTTTTTACGTTTTGAACGTTTTAATTTGGTTACATATTTACCTAGAAATCAAAAAATACACTAATCAATATTCTAAAAGCAATTTTAAGAGATATACGATTATTTTTAATTTAGGCTAATTTAAACGCCATTTTGAGATGATATTCGACTGTATTTCACCAAACATCAGGCGGCATCCGAAGCTGGAAATCGAAGCGAAAATTTTGAAACCCTTATGTATATTTACATCATTATATATTTCTTACCCCACCCCCACATGATCCTATATCCATCACCAATCATATACACATCGAATTGTGCTAATTTACTACAAAGTTACGCAAAGCAGCATCTACTATCTAAAATATGTACTGCGTGACTCTTAATACGTCCCTGCCGAATGTTACAGCGTTCGATGATCACGTGGTCTTGTTTATGTCCAGTCTATCTCTTATCTGAATATACTGTACACCAAATTTTTCACTCAGGGTTACCGATTGATTTGGGCCACACTGTATTGCATTTCTGAACAGGTATCACTTCGTTTCCAAAATACACATTAATTACAAAAATACGTGTTGCTTATTTTGCTTTGCGCTGACCAATCTCAGCATCTGACGGTCGCTTGTTATCAAATGCACAAACAAGTGTATAGCAATTACCTCAGAAAAACAATTTAATTGAAAATAATTGCGGCACCGTCCGGCATCAATTTCGAGCATATAGAAAGTACATCAATGCCAGAGTATACACAATACCACATAGCAACGCAACGATGTTAGATGTGCGCAGAAGAAGCTAAATTTTAAGCTTTTTGGATGAGCGCCTAAGGTTTTAAGCTCACTGTAGTTATTTGTTTTCTAATTTGTCCAAGTTGAATTCAAGTCATGCATGTTCAAAAACTTAGGAACAACCTTGATAGAGGCCCAGTTCGTTACACTTCGCTATGCACAAGTAAAATCCCGGTTGAGATACGCCTTGTGCTTTTCAAGGTCAAGTTTTCTTAAGCCAGAAAGGAGTGATAAGGTGTATGACCGGTTGTAAGGAACTCTTTCGGCAATGATCAATTTTAACACTGCCTTCTTTGATCATATACGACTTGACAAAGAACAAAGCTTCATGATACACAATAATCTGCATAATTCTCATACTATGCAAAAGTATGACCTATTTGTGTCTTTCACAGAATATGTAAAGGGTAGGAAGGCGCCCAGTGACTTGGGACCAGGAATATGCAATAAGATGCTCAATGAATTAAAACTATCCAGCTCCTTGAAGCAGTTCAAAGGATGGTTAACAGGTTTTCTGTTAGATCAGTGATTGTTCAGTGAGTTTGTTGATGTTTGTTTAATTCTATTTTACTTATTATTTGGATCTGACTTATTATGCATAGCATCCAGACAGCTCTTACTGCCAGTACATACGGGGGTTAAGCTGTCGCGCTGCAAAAAGACGCGCGTTTGGCGTTACCATGATGTGGATGGAACACTAACGGCGCACGTTCGATAGAGCACGCTTTTTGCAGGGCTTTAATTTAGGCGACGCGCGTCATAACGTGTCCAGTGTCCAGCACGTAGTCGCGTGTTTTTTTGCAGCGCGACAATTCAGCATCCCACAAACCGGCGCGAAATAATCGCGGCGAAGTATTCGCAACGAAATTCAGAGCGAAATTCGCAATCTGTTTCACCTGTTTATTCATACCAAAGCGACTTATTCGCTCCGCGAACGTGAAGGTTTCGACAGGTTGCGTACATTTTATTTTTGCCTTTTGCAATGAGCTCGTCTTCAGAAGAAGAGGAGGCATTTCTATTTCTTGCAAATGATCCTCGGCGGGCAGCAAGGCTAGCATTTTCTACTCGTGACAAATTCGTAAATTATTTTAATTCTGATATGCCTATGCCCAATATATAGAATGTTCGTTTTCACATTTGTGTAGACTGTAAATTATTTAACAAGTTAATAAAAAATATTAGGTACATACCATTTGTATTTAATTCTTTTCCTATTTCCATCCAAATCTTGTCTTTCTTTCTCACATTCCTGTATACATCGTTCGACAAATCATACAAACAAGGATACTTTTTCACTATTTCTATCAATAATTCCGTTTTTGCCATTGCGAATTTTTGAAGAACGGCGTCAAGAACGCGGTCAAAGGCGAACTGAAATACGCCGCGATAAAAACGCTGGAACAATCGCATTGGCTTCGCACAAGTCTGAGCCTGTCCGTAAACCGCCGCGTTTTAATCTGATCGCGAATTCATCGCCGCGAAATTTTCGCAGCCAAAGCGAATATTTCGCGCCGGTTTGTGGGATGCTTTCAGTGTGGATAGCAACTGTCGCACGTTTCAACTGGCGTTTTTTGTAATTTAACGCCCATGATACCGAAAATGAATGTTATAGAATTTCTCCTAAGAATTTAACGTAATCTTCAGGCATTCGTGTTGTTGTGTATACAGTACTATTTTATACGCCGTTGCGTTAAGCACAAGTTTTGAATGGAGTCTATACGCATCCGTTCATACACCTCCTCGGACAACTTTCATTTTATGGCCAGCTTTTATTGTTATCAGCCAACAGACCGTGAAATCAGCTTGATTATAGTTATGTAGTAGTATCGAGTTACTCATCAGCCTTACGTGTTCTTATTCCAGTGGCGTCCAACTATCGTTATATAGTTGATATACCATCGGATTAGTATGGTTTCCCTCATGATGGTTTCACATATCGTCTGGACGCTCACGTTACACACGATGAGGTAAGCCCATCTGGTCACTTGGAAAGGCACACAACGTTACTGCTGATGTTGTAAGAACTTTCCAAACATCCATTGCAGATGGTTAACGACTTCTATTTTCAATTATAAGAAATATACAGTATTAAATTTCTCAACTTCAGCTCCGGTACTGTTTCAAACTATTTGTGGCCCCATTTCAGTACGACGAATTAAAATATTGATAACGACTTTCTCTCTGACAAGAGACCTGGGGGTGATTTCGCGTTTCTATTACCTTTTGAGGAACTGTGTACTTGAACATTCCTCGTTGGCGCACTAGGATCGTTATGAGCGTCCATCTATGGAGGAATGGCTCAACTACACGCATTGTTGGTTGCATATGTTTTGTGAAGCCGAAAAGAAAGTTGGTTGAGTAGCAACATCGCAACTCGCCGTCCTGCTGATGCATGCATGTAGCAGTCATCCTTCGCCGTTTTCCCAGGGAGCCAGATCCTAAAGGGCCCCAGAATTGTACAAAAAAGCATGCTAAATATGTAAATTTTAATCGTATGAGCCTGCTTAAATAACTTGATATATTTTTTTTGTCTTATACATATTCATAGCTAAGTTTTTTCTCTGAGGGCCCAACTTATGAAAAATATAATCCTATATGAACTGATGCCAGCATTGCGTAGGAGCTGCAGAGTCAACCTACTTGACGCCATTGTTTATAAATGGCACGATAATAAAATACACCCATCCTTGAATCCAATGTTTATTATATATATATATAATGTAAAGCAAATACGAAAGTTAATAATCACTGAAATACTGAACTGATTTAAATTGATAATATGTATTGTGATATCGTTTTAGTTAGTAGAAACGCTTTGTTTTTATTTCGAAACCATCCGGTACATTCTGTTATTTAACTAGTTATGATAAATATAAAGCTTAGTATAAACAAGACCTAGATAAATACAAATTGCCTGTTTACTTGGTACTGAAGTAAATATGTCTGATGGCAAAAAATTATGTCTGACCCTGAAATACTTGGAATTTCGCTATTCTGTTGGCGCCTCCATGATTGCTGATCTTACAGATTATAGTATTTGCACTGTGTACCTCCAATTTTGCTTTCCACGTCACAGTGTATCGGTGGTAATATGTTTATACGCCTCTAATCCCAGTAACTCAGCGCGCCTATCAGTATGTACTCCACACATTAAGTCCCCGTACGTACATCTGCCCTTAAAACAGAAGAAAAAGATAAATATTTTCAACAGATGCGTCGCGTATCGGTCGCACGGCGAACGGCATGCATATATGCACAGCGTTGCCAGATGGTCGATAGTGTCGACTGAGTAGAGAAGACATTTTTTAATCGCGGCCTTATACATGTTCTTAGTTAACTTCATCCTCACCGACCGAAGATATTTCTTTATTAATTGACGACTGCTTTACGTGGGAAGTGGGAAGTCAACCTACTTGACGTCATTTTTTAAATATCTCCCTCACTTAGCAATGACTGCTCCAGTGATTGGTCTAGATAAACCATCAAACGATCAGGCTCAAATACAGGAGGAAAAGGTAGGTATATGTACGAAATCAAACGAGCTCTCAAACATGGATACACCCTGTTATTCTCGTCCATAGTAACAAGGTGGAGCGTTTGAATATTTCCTGGTTTCCCCGTTTGAAGCGATGAACGAATTTACAGCGAGGAGAGTCAGGAAAATATTTCATTTCACGCCTATTAAATACGCGTTTATTGCCTCTTTTTATGATTTCGTTCTATTCCAGACCGTTCCACGGGAATTAATAAGAGTCCCTGCTATATTTGAAGGCACGGCAAGACTCCTTTTACAAAAAGTAAATTGAAAGTCCCTTTAATGTTAGAGGAACAATGTCGGAGAATGTCATCTTCTTGCTATAAACTAGCGGGCCCAATGTCGTCTATAGACTTGATGATCAACATATTTAATTCAATTCAATTCAATTGGCAAAATGGCAAAATTTGTCCAATGGCCATTCATACTTAATCATGTCAGAAGCTTATAACTACCTAAATAAAACCCAGCCTAATGAAGAAATAATCACTATACCAATCCGATTAAGAATAGACATCAGATGAACATATAATTTAAACTGAGAGAGAAAGTAGATAAAAAATAAGCATTTAATTAACAGGTCTTACAGGTTTCTTTGGAAAAGTTGCTAATAAAGCTTTGGTCAAGCTTCGACTGTTCAGGGCGTATCCTTTATCTAAACACAAATTTATTGTGTGATGATATGAAAGACAGTTATCGGGAAATTTACTTAGATCATAAATGATGATAGTGTGTCAATTCGGAATATGGTCCTGATATGAGCCAAACCTTTCTCGCGCCCAGGACAAACCTTAGAATATACTCGAAATAATTCATGAATTTATTCCGTAGAATTGTCAACGTCCTGGATGATTCCATACAAAATGCTGTTTTCCTATTGCGTAAAATATTAACGCATGACGTGTTGAGGTTTCTTAGAATTATGAGGCGCCTTTGTATCACCGTACAAAAGTCAATAATTATTTGCATCTTTTATATAGAGCGCAACAAACTTATATAATGGGATTCTAAGGCGGCTATTGTATAAAAAAATATGTAATATAGCACAGCTGTATATATTGTACAATTAAATATTTTTGTAGCTTAAAAGTTTGGCCATATTTGAGCGTGAAAATCACAGTAGATCCTGCTGTTCATTTCCGATATAACAAGCTGCAAGCACATTCTCTATTATCTACTCATCGTTATTCGTCAGGGCGGTCCAGTGGACATTTACTCTTTGTTAAAAATCTCGTGGGTTTGTAAGCCTGTCAGGCCTGGCTACCCAGATACCAAACAGTTCAAGAGGCAAAGTATAGGGTATGAAAGGAAGAATGGGAGGAATAGAGGAAAGAAAATGCTTACGCATTATTGGTTTGACTACTAAGGCCCGTATCGTCAGTCGTCCTTACAATTTAAGGGCGCCTTTATGGCCTCCTTGGTTGTCATAGTTTTCTACTTCTCCGTGTCAGAACTCTATTTTGAGGTTATGTCACAAACATCTATTTGCATCAAATTGTGCTTGCTTTTGAGTTATATCATCTTTTATCAGCCTGAAATTTCCTACAATTTCAAATGAAAACATATCTTCACAATAGGAGAGCGCTGACGCTGACACGGGACAAGTGTAGTCTAGAAATTTTTGAAGGAGAGAAAGGAGTATGACAATCAAGGAGGCCATAAACGCGCCCTACAATTGTAGGGACGACTGACGATACGGGCCTAAATCTATGTATATGTGAAGTATTTTTACTCCAATAATTTTTTTCTCAATATGATCAGGAGGCTTTGAAAACGAATCTTAAGCATTTTTCAGTTCTTGTTTCAGCTGTGGCTCCGCCGCCACTGGTCCGATTTTCAAAAACTTGTTCGTTCTTAATAGTAACCTGAAACTTTCATCAAAATCCGAGTGGCACTTTTCAAGTTATGGACGAGTCAAGGATTAACGGGCAGACCGAAATTTCTCGCGATTACAATACTTCCCCGCCAGTGGCG